GAATTTACAGGGTTTTTCTGTGCGCGCAATGACCCTCAGTCACTCGCCACTTTTACATAAATAGACAAAAAGTAAAGATAAAAACATCAAAGACATCAAACCCACTCTAACCCTAATTTAGCCATAAGCAACTCTAAACAGGTGGGTTATAAATTGAGATTTAAAGGCACCCAGTGTTTCAGCTGTTTTACAGTTTTCTGGAAGTTTGTTCCAAATCCGTGGTGCATAGAAACTGAATGCTGCTTCTCCTCGTTTGATTCTGGGGATGCAGAACCAGAACCAGAAGATCTGAGGGGTCTAGACGGTTGGTACAGCAATAACAGATCTTTAATGTATTGTGGTGCTAAACCGTTCAGTGATTTATAAACTAACAGTATTTTAAAGTCTATCCTCTGAGCTACAGGGAGCCAGTGTAGGGACTTTAAAACTGGTGTTATGTGCTCTATCTTCCTGGTTTTAGTGAGAACGCGAGCATCAGTGTTCTGGATCAGCTGCAGCTGTTTGATTGATTTATTAGTCAGACCTGTGAAGATGCTGTTGCAGTAATCAATACGGCTAAAGATAAACGCATGGATGAGTTTCTCTAGATCCTGCTGAGACATCAGTCCTCTAATCCTGGAGATGTCCTTCAGGTGATAGAAGGCCGACTTTGTGACTGTCTTAATGTGGCTCTGAAAGTTCAGGTCAGAGTCCATCACTAATCCCAGGTTTCGGGCTGATTGCTGGTTTTCAGTTGTAATAACTGAAGCTGTGCATTGACTCTAGTTCGCTCCTCTTTAGGTCCAAAGATAATAACTTCAGTTTTGTTTCTGTTCAGCTGGAGAAAGTTTTGGCCCATCCACACATTTATCTGATCTAAGCATCTATTCAGTGATTGGATGGGTTCAGAGTCACCTGGTGACATCGTGATGTAGAGCTGTGTATCATCCGCGTAATTATGGTAGCTAATCTTATTTCCTGTTATAACCTGAGCCAGCGGGAGCATATAAATATTGAAAAGAAGGGGTCCTAGGATTGAACCTTGGGTACCCCACATGTGACCTTTGACCTCTCTGATGAGAAGTTTCCAATTGAAACAAAGAAATTCCTGTTCTTTATGTAAGATTCAAACCAGTTGAGCACTGGACCAGAGAGTCCGACCCAACTCTCCAGTCGGTTCAGTAAAATGTTGTGGTCAGCACTAATGAGGGAGACTTAAAAACCAGAGTTTGCGCATAATGATGAGGCTGAATGAAGCCACAAGTAAAGGGACTTTTCACTGTTTTTACAATAAAATAGAAGTTGCCTTGTGTGGAAATTCTGGTGAGAGCAAGTAGATTCACACAACGGTAAAAAAATAAACTAGAAAATTCCTGCATAAATTTTAAGGGGCCTGCCGAAGTGTGCCCATCACTTTAGACTCAGCGCTTTAAATTTACACTGAGGAATAGATCTATGCAGGTCTGACATACATAACTGAAGGTATTGTCAAGTATATGATGGCGATATGGATGACCTGACTCTCCAGTAAAATACAACTACATCCAAAATCAGTGTAGGCTTCGCACATGTGGTTCTCACTCATGGTCCAAAATAGAAAACATGAAGAAAGTTGGTAATTGTTTATTTCTAAAAAAAAAAATTACATTTTCATACTAAGGATTTTAATTTACACTCAAAAATTCAGAGAAGTAATAATTTTATGTAAGCAAAACATGAATAGTCACAGGAAATATGTATTCTTCCCACAATGCATTGTGAGACCTGACTCTGTGCTTGTTTGTGAAACTCACTGCCTCCAATTAATTATCTGCTCCTGGGCAGGCTCTCTCTGTCAGACAGGATGCTGG